ATCAAAAGGGAAGTATTCGGCGAGAGAAAAAGGATGGAGGAACCATGGTCGGTGGGAGACGTTGGTCGGATGGACAATAGCCGGGTTATTGAGATCAGAGGGACTGTAGTCAGCAGGTGATAGAGGTTGGAGGGACCATAGTTAGTGATGGTGATATGAGGATTCTAGTTAATGGGCGACAGAAGTCGAAGGAATTGTAGTTGAGCGATGATGATTTGAGGACCATAGTTGTCTAGCAACAGAAGTCGGGCGAAGACATGGTGGTAGTGGTCAGATGGAGGTCCGACGACAATGGTCGGGTAAAGGTTCAACAACAATGACTGGGTGGTATGGGTACCCTAACAGCGGCAAGCGATGGAGGTCTGAGGGACCATAGTCATGAAACTGAGTTTGAGGGAACCATTGTTATGTAATAGAGGTCGGAGAGATCGTAGTAAGGAGATAGAGGTTAAAGAGACTTTAGTTGGGCGACAGAGGTCGAAGATATCATAGTTGTCGTGAGATGAAAGTCAGAGTGACCATAGTCGAGCGACAGTGGTATGAGGAATATAGTCGTCAGGTGACCATCATATTAGGCGAGTGCTTATGGTTGAAGCTGGAACTATAATTTAGTGACGGAGGCCGAAGGGACCATAGTCGACTGATTAAGGTCGGATAGAATGTAGTCAGAGGGCAATGATGATTAGGTGAAGACCTAACAGTGGTGTCCAGATGGAGGTTCGACCGTGATGCTCTAGTAGAGGTTCAAAAATGACAACCAGATGGCAAGGGTTCAATTATAACTCAAATTCATGAAAACTGTATTTTTACCTACAACAGTTAAGAATATATTCAGGAGTTGTTATAAGTCCAAATCGCAAACTGTCTTCTCCATAGCTTCTCTATATATTATATATTGTGTTTCAAATTTCCTAATTTTTTTTATAATTTTTGGGCAGTGAAAAAATTTCTTAAGAAATTGACACCTAACAGTACAAGTGGGGGTTTTGAGACCATCAAATATCTGTTTTACAATTCAACTTCATATGAATTTTTTAAATAAAATAAATTATTTTATGGATATTTTTCTATAATTTTTGAAGCCATAAAAGAGTTTATACGAATTTTATACTGAAATTTTATTAAAATATTATTATTTAATAAATATCTTAAATCACTTAGTTACATTTTCTTAAGCCATTTTCCTAATTTCCTTTTCGGCTAACAAAGGAAATTTTGGGAGAAATAAGAGAAACGAGAGGAGAGAGAAAAGGGAAGCTAAGTTTAGATAGTCATAGAGCGATTTTCTTCCGTCGGCCCACTTGGAAAATTTTCTCGTCTCCAGGTAGGTTACGTTTTGCCTATGATTTCAATAATTTTGTGTTTTTAATACTTTTCCGATCAAATTTGTACTTTTGTAACCAAAAAATGAGGATAACTTTATTTTGGTAACTTTCACCGCATAATTTTTTATATGTTATAGACACTATGATTACAAACATTTTGAGCATATTCTGAAATTTTTTTACCATGTGATTTTGAAAATGGGCAATTTTTATCTACTCAAAAAACTTATTTTAATATTTAAAAATAATACTTAAGTTCAATTAAATCTTCAGAATGATGTTTTACACAATTTGTGATAATTTGGTTATATTTGGAAATTCTAATTTTTTTACTTAGTAGTATTTATGTTGTATACCATTAGGACATTTTTGCAAATTTTTAATTCAGTTCAATTGCGTTAATTTTAACTAATGAAATGAATTAAAAAAATATGTTGTGAAGTGATGCCGATGCTAGTGGAAGACCGAGGTGGGATTCTTTTACGACAGCACCAGTGGGTCGCGAAGGTAGGATTTTGTTATGTCGGCGCCAATGGGCGACATATGTGGGATTCTATTATGACAGCGCTAGTGGGCGGCCAAGGTGGGATTCTGTTATGCTGGCGATAGTGGGTGATCACCAAGGTGGGATTTATTACGCCGGTGCTAGTGGTCGATCGAGGTGAGATTCTATTACACCGGCGCTAGTGGGAGGCCTAGGTGGGATTTTGTTATGCCAGCACTAGTGGGAGATTGAGGTGAGATTTTGTTATGCTGGTGAGATTCTGTTACCTAAGTGCCGTTATGTCGGAGCCTTAGCCCGAGGTTGGATTCTATTATGAAGTGCTTTCTTATAATTAAGTTCGTTTCATTATATTTAATTGTATTTAATTTCAGTACAATGATCTCAGTTCTTTTAGTTTTGATTATTGATGTTTATTTTAAGGCACGATAGCCTACTGAACTGTATTAGCTCATTCTTGCTTTTGCTTTTATTTTCAGGCCCGTGGAAGGATAAGAAGCGAGCTGAATAGTTAGGATATTAGGCTTTGATATGTGTTTTAGGTATGTTTTGTTAGTTTTAATTTTTGCAGGCTTGACTTTTATTTTTTGTTATGCACTTTGTTGTCAAGCACTGTTGTAGATAGATTTCAGATTAAATATGTTTTGAATGGTATATAGAAAAATCATGTTGAGATTCAATAATTTTCTGCCTTATATTGCGTTCAATAATGGCTCTATGTAGTATATAAATTTAAAGTTTTGTTTTAGTACTTCTCCAACCAGATCTTGGGATTTGTCTTGCCACAACTGGATATGGTATGCCCTGTACGTTGTCGGGTTATATCGGGTCGGGTTGTGATAGGTCCACTGACAATGATGCTTGGGTGGAGCTCTAGGATTCTTCAAGTCCTAGAGCTTTCATGATCTCTAGCCTATGGCCAAAGCTTCCTAAAGTCCAATCATCTTTCACGTGGGAAGTGGAGTTTTATTTATAGATTTTGAGAGTGACATTTTCTATAAATATGAAAAAAATTCTGAGCAAATTTGAAGTTCTTCATCAAATGACCCATATTTATTCTCTTGAATATAGAGTGTTTGTCAAGCATTTAATTACCTTATTGAAGTTAGAATTAACCAATATTGGGCTTATTGGATTCGTCTCATCGAGTCTCTCGATTCAACTTTAAGTATGCTATTTTTTAATATCATTTGGTCATCCAATTAATGTACTAAAACTTTCAAATATGCTTTTAGCCTTTGATTTGAGCCCATTTGGGCTCAGATTGGACCGATTTTGATGTCGTTGGGTTCATCTCGCCGAGACGTTCAATTTGACTATAAAGTTGCTGATATTGGAGTTTAGATGGTCCCAATTTTAATTTTGGAAGTTTCCAATTCAAATATGTCTCGAGATTCTTGCAAGACCCGGACAATCATTACTAATCTTAAAATAAATTAAATAATTTTGAAATTCATTTTGATCAAATTACATTGAGATGTCATTTAAATTATGAAGTTATATAAAAGGCATTTTATAAATTTTAATCAAAGAGGACTGTGTTTATAGGACTCATCGCAAGGAAAGATTAAAATATTAATGTGTATTTAGAAAGGCTTGATCAATACTTTCAAGAGAACAAGATGATTGTGGAGTTTGGATTGAATTAGATTTGTTGCGTCCTGGAGTATTCGCGGCGGTAGGCCTCATTTGTAATCGACTGCAATACTAGTGGATTCATTCAAACTGGGCTAGGCCCCGTGGTTTTTCCCCCTTTTACAGGGGTTTTCCACGTAAAAATCTTGGTGTCTCATAAATGCTAGACCCTCTCTCCTTATCTGCTTGCGTGCCAGATCTTCGTACAATGCTAAGACGTTAAATATAATATTTCTCTACCGCCACGAATACTCCTGGACGCAACAACTTTCAAGAGAACAAGATGATTGTGGAGTTAGGATTGAATTAGATTAATAGCTTTAGATTAGATGATGACTTTAAATTTTATTATTTTGTCATGAAAACTTTTCCTTTTTCTTTTTCTTCCCTCATCTTTAGGCTTTGGTAAAGAGAAAATTAGCAAAATATTCTGTTGAGAGGAAAATAGATACATAAAGTGCTACATATATGGATTTTTAATGAAATGATTGAACTAGGACATGTAAAATAAAAAAAAAATATATTTCTATTTTCTTAATTAAATATTTTTGTTTTCTTAATGAGAATCTAAAAATAAATTTTATGAATATTAAAAAAAAACTCTGTTAAATATTTGGAGGATGAAAATTATGTGTTCTTTTGTTGTTGTGGATATGCATCCACTTTCTCATTATCTAGAAGTAATCATCTGTTTGTCTTATTATTTAAAATATATAAAAAACTCAATATAAAAGTAAACTCAAAATCATATTAAGGTTTCGTTTGGGACGGCTTTTTTATTGCTTTCTAAACAGAGTTTTAGTACAAAAATAAAAAAAATTGTGCCGTTTTATAAAACAATAAAAAAGTCGTCCCAAACGAAGCCTAAATTTCATATATATTCTATATTTTTTGTTTCTCTTTCCATCACACAAAGCTCCAGCAAGTATAATTATTCAAAATCTTACAAAAATAACAATAATTTTCTCAATAATTAAGAAAAAATTTGGACTAAAATATTTTAACTTAATTTTCATTAGGATGATATTACAAAATTGACAAATGTCATTTCTTATGATATTTATTCTATAAATATTTTATAAACACCATAATAATTTATTATTCTATCAATATAACAAAAAGTCTTTACATTAATTTTAAATTTATTAATAAAATTAGATTATACATTTAATATCATTTAAATATAATAAAAATATCAATTTGTTTTTTTAATAAGAAAAATCTAGTAACTCACCTTTATTTATTGGTTGAGAAATTATTTTGTGCGGAAGTCGAACGTAGCTCTACGTCTGGAGGCGAATCAAGTGCAACCATATTAGCTATACCGAGCCGCGGTACCCTGCGGTACGGTGCAGTATTGAGCCACGGTAAGCAACAAAGGGATGACGTGGCACATTCTGATTGGTCTTTGGGCGAAACATCCACAGATCATAATATTTCCCAATTAAGAGCTATATACGCATGAATTTATGTTAATAGATTCAAAATTGAAAAAAAAAAAATATATTTTTTCTTTAATTCATGGTCTTTTATAGCGATGCTCTACAGCGGCCAGGTCACAAGCATCTGAAAATTTAACATAGAAAAGGAAAACGAAGAAAATAGCTAAAGCAAAGGTCCAGCTCCAAACTTTACATTAGTAAGGCAAATTCCCTCGCCTTCCCCTCACGGCGCACAGCAGTTCTACCCCTCCCCAACAGAAAAAGAAATACCCACAGCTAAAATCCAACCCCAAGATCCTCCCATCTTCTCTCTCTCTCTCTCTCTCTCTCTCAAACGCACACTGCTGATATTTTTTAAATTCCCAGGGCGGCCTAAAGTTAAAAGCACCCGTTCACTACTGCAACTACTGTCTCTGAAATCTACAAAGAAGGTAGCCTGAAAAATCACCTAATTCCTTTGTCCTTCCGCTTGAACGCGTCGATCTCGAACTTGATAAAATGAGGTGGGGTTAATGAGGCGGCGTCTAATACATGATCAGGTAGATGGATACTCTATTCCGCCTGGTTAGCCTTCAATCCTCCGACGAGCAAAACCAGCATCAACAGTCCTCTCTTAACTCAAGCCGAACCTCGAGTAGCTCCCGCTCTTCTCGCCACGCGCACCACCACCAATACCTTCCTTCCACCGCCTACTTTGAAGTCTCCCAGGAAGAAGAATGCGGCTTCATCAATCCGCATCAACCCTCCTATTTCTACAACAACAACAACAGCAACCTTTTCATGGATGAAGACTTCTCCTCCTCCTCCTCCTCTTCCAAACACTTTCAACACTCCGATCAACCTCCGGCCGCCGCTCCTCCTCCCCCCGACTTCCCCCTCCCCGACCTTTTCTCCGATCCCAATCGCCGCTGGGCCTCCGACCTGCTGCTCGATTGCGCCCGCGCTGTCGCATCCCGCGACAGCTCCCGTGTTCAACAACTCATGTGGATGCTCAACGAACTCGCTTCCCCTTATGGTGACTTTGACCAAAAGCTCGCTTCTTACTTCCTACAAGCTCTCTTTGCTCGTCTCACCTCTTCCGGCCCTCGCACACTCCGCACCCTCTCCTCCGCCTCCGACCGAACTGCTTCCTTCGACTCCACTCGCCGCACCGCGCTCCGCTTCCAAGAACTCAGCCCATGGTCCTCCTTTGGTCATGTCGCCGCCAACGGAGCCATTCTGGAATCCTTTCTACTTCATTCCCCATCATCATCCCCCTCTCGCCTCCACATCCTCGATCTCTCCACCACCTTTTGCACCCAATGGCCCACCCTACTTGAAGCCCTCGCAACTCGCTCCGCCGCAGACGAAGATACTCCTCATCTCTCTATCACCACCGTCGTCCCCTCCACCTCCCCCACCGCCCGCCGCGTCATGCGAGAAATTGCTACTCGAATGGAGAAGTTCGCCCGTCTCATGGCCGTCCCCTTCCGCTTCTCCGTGGTCCACCACCCCGACGCAGACCTCTCAGCTCTCGACCTCGATACACTTATCTCATCCGACTCCTCCGCCGCCACCGCTCTCGCCGTCAATTTCGTCAACTCTCTCCACGGCGTCTCCCCTTCCGCCCGCCACCGCGATGTCCTGCTGGGCAAAATCCGCAGGCTTCGGCCGCGGATCGTGACGGTCGTTGAGGAAGAAGCTGAGCTCGACTTCGATGAAGACGATGAAGAGGGCTTCCTAAAGGGCTTTAGAGAAGGATTAAGATTCTTCTCGGCATATTTTGACTCGTTGGAAGAGAGCTTTCCTAAGACGAGTAATGAGCGCCTGGCGCTGGAACGGGCCGCGGGTCGGGCCATGGTTGATCTCGTGGCTTGCCCGGCGAGTCAGTCAGCGGAGAGGAGGGATACAGCGGCGGGATGGTCGAGGAGGATGCGGATAGCTGGATTCTCTCCATTGGCGTTCAGTGATGACTTGACCGACGACTTGCGAGCGTTGCTGAGGAGGTATAAGGAAGGGTGGTCGATGAGGGCTGCGGTGGCGCCCGATGAGGCAGACGAGTCAACGTCATCTGGCGGCGGACGTGGTGGCGGCGCCGGCTGTGGGATGTTTCTGACGTGGAGGGAGGAACCGGTGGTGTGGGCGAGCGCGTGGAAGGTTTGACGTTGGTTGGTGGCGGGAAGCGCGTCGTCGCGCGGCGTATGCGGAGGCGCGGGAAGGGTCAAGGATCGTGAGTTAATTTGAAACGGTCGCACGCAGAACGTCAAAGCAGGAGGGGGAGAGGGTGGTAATGAACGACACGTGGAAGTCAGAGAGAGGTTTGTTAGACTTTATTTTTAAAGATTTGTAATCACACATATTTGTCTTGTTAAGAAGGTATTATTTTTCGTTTTTTTTTTCTTCTAATTTTTAGCGTTGATTTCGCTTCAATGTTGAGCTTACATTCCATTATGCATGCTTCTAAGTCTCAAATATATTTTCTTTTTAATGAAATAATTTTTTTTTTCGTTAAACATAATTAACCCCCTTTTAAATTTTCATTTTCAAAGAATTTGACTAAGTAAAAAATAAATTCATAATGATGATATAAAAGCAATTAAATTGGTAGCTAATTAGCACTAAAATAAGAGACAGGAAAGTGAAAAATAATTCTATGCGGACAGCAGGCGATGTTCGGAGACCAATTGGAACGCGTCACATCATTTTTTTGCTTGATACCAGTGCTCGGTACAGCTATGTATTGGGTGATGTTCCAGTGTTCTGATTGATCTCTACCATTCAGTGTCCGCACAGAATAATTTCTCTAGTAAAAAAGGCATTGTACTTACTAGCATAACTATTTCATTTAACAATGAAAATTTCACAAAAGGGAAATTTACTTTGAAATAAGTATTTGAAAGAGATTTTCGTGGAGTTTTACAATTGAGCTTATGTTGTTTTATTATAGGATTTTGATGATGGGAATAAGTTACTTTTTAAACTAATTATCATAAAATTATAATCGTGTTTAACTATTAGGTTTTGAAAGTTATTAATGCCAGTGAAAATTATTATATTTAGCATCTATTTGGGATATATTTTTTTCATTATTTTATTTTTCAGGCTGATATTATAATTTTTTAGCAATGAGAATTTTTTTTTTATAATCAGAGTTTCTATTGTGTGGTAGTTTTACGAAAAAGAATAATTTATAATTTTCAATAACTAATAAATATTATTGATTCTCATTCCAATAAAACTTACTTTAATCACTACTTACTAATTATAATTAAAATAATGATCTCCAATCTATTTTATCAATGAAATCCAAGCTTCAAACTCAACTTTTTTTTTCCTCCACTTATTTAGAAATCTTTGGAAGACCATGTAAAGTATGTAACCCCAATTTTTGCTATGTTCTATTATATCATGGGTTTCTTATACAAAGCAATTTAAAGACATGTAGAAGGAGCTGGAAGATTAGGAGGTATCGTAAGATACTAATGGCTATGATGAAAATGATAAAGAGGAGAGAGAGAGAGGAAAGTGAAAGAAAGCTTACATATGGAATATATATATGGAATCAAAGATAGTGCGTGGGGGTCGTTATCTGGTGAGGTGGGTGTGAAGGCGACAGTGGAGGCAAATCTTAGTATTTGTGCTATTTATTTATATTGGAATCTAACAACTGATGGTGGTGTTCCTGCTGGTGGACCAAGCATGCACTGAACATCACCATTTCCATGCTTTCCTCTCTTGTCTCTCTCTATTTCTCGTGCTCAGAGAGTGAGAGAGAGAGAGAGGGAAAGAAAGAGAGAGAGAGAGAGAGGTATGAATTGTATATTTTCTTTTTTGCTTTTTAACCTTTTGGAGCCGCATAGGGGCAGTTCCACTCAAATAAAGCTTTGTGGGGGCTGATGATGTGCTCCGGAATGGAGCTTTTGAGCCACAGAAAAGATAGTGGGAACTGCTTTTTAGGTGTGTGGGAGGAGTGGATGAAGGCTCTATCATGTATTTAGGCATACATGATTTGTGAAATATTACTGTGTTGTATGTTTTAGTTGGGCTTTGGACTGCAAAATGACTAGAAGATTGATGAGTGAGTGTTAAGAAAGTGTTGTGCAAATTATGGCTCCTTTGAAATTTTCTAGTTTGAGTTATTAATGATCGAGTGAAGTTGAGATCAATTGATTTTGGTTAAGGATAAAATCGAGTAGGGGTGTCAATATTTGACACGATCGGAAAATCAGACACGAATATGATCTGAAAATTTCAGACTAGGTTCAACCCGTTTGAGAAACAGGTCGGGTTCGGGATTCCGACCCGTTTGTAAAACCGGGTTTTGAGTTTGGGTTGATCCGGAAACTTAAAACCAACCCGGCCCATTCTGACCCGCCAGTCACTCCATAATTTGTCAGGTTCAACTTCGCCTCGCATGAGTCGTGACCTCGTCCGAAGTTCGTTTGCCCAGGCCCTCTCTCAGGCGATGCGTGGTTGAGGTTCGACTGTTCGACTTGAGTACTTTTAGTCTTCATGTGACTAGTTGGTCTTGCTAACCTCGTCTGGCTTCTGCTCGCTCAACGCAGTTCGCCTCGCCTCACTAGTAGTGTTGCCAATCAAGTTTGCGTCGTCCCTACCTTTGTCCGTCGACGTCACGTCTGCCAGACATGCATGACCGCACATTCTGCCACTGAGCTGCAGCTGTCGCCCATCAATTTGTTCCATCAAAATCAATTTAGCGGGGTCAGGTCACCCCGTTAACTCGGCGGGTCATGTTCGGGTTTAGGATTCCGACCTGCTTGCAAAATCGGGTCGGGTTCGGGTTGACTCGTTTGGATCCGGGTCAATTCTGGTTTCAACCCGAACCAGACCCGTGACCCAATTTTGACACACCTAGAATCGAGCAAACTTATATATAAAGAGAGAATACAAAGAAACAAAAAAAAAAAAGAATGAAACCTCCTATCACATGTAATATATATATAATATTTGGTATCCTAAGGTTAGGGAGTAATTAGAATAGTAATTTCACATCGCTTGATTGTGTGATATGATGATCAACTAGTATACTGTTTGGTCATAATTATGCGCACTAAGTTAGAAATATCTTCTAGTAGAGGCCAAATGTTGTGCCCGTTAGAACACTTGAATGCTTAATGCCTACTCATCATCATATTGTGCTAAACCAATTAAATATTAAAAAAAATGTATGCAATGTTACTTTATTGATGCCTCTTGTTTGACATATAATGTTATAGGCTTAAGGTTTGAATTATGGTGTGGAACCTAGTTACATCTGATAATATTTTGATTTTTTTTTTAAATAAATTGCAAAACCCAACTATATTATTTTTAATTTGCTTATATTTTTTTATTAATTTTAATGAGATGTATATATACTTTACACGTTTATTTATATAATATGATTGTCATGAAATTGCGATATATCATTAAGAGCTTCTAATAATTTAAAATGTTTACCCTTATATATTAAAAACTTAAAATTAATCATAGAGCTTGATTTTAAGGAAAATTAACAATGGCCTTTCTAAGTTAAATATTTTAAAATAATTAACTTATGCTCTCTTCATTTTTCTAGAAAGAAATAGATAGATATTTGAGTATTTATATAAATATTGCTTATTTTAAATCAATAAATTTCATCTGCTAATTAACATATATGCGAGTTTTGTGAGTTATCACATAGAGTAATTACTCTTTCATATTAGATTGATAGCTAAGGAAAAATATGGATTTAAGTATCATTACCACCCACATTGTTAGGAAGCCTTTGCATTAGTGGCATGGCATAAGACTTAATATTTTAAAATAAATTAGCTTGTCTATACTGTAAAATATTTAGACCTTCGATGATATAAATTTTTAAATGATTGGAGAGTCTATTTGGTTGTCCCTTTTTGAAAAGTTTATTGAGCTTCTTATATAAGTCTCAACACAATTATCTATTATTATGTTCATAAATTTAGGAAAGGGTTACACCCTAATGACATGCTTAATCATTATCTTAAATTTGGGATTTGTTTGGGACGGTTTTTTTATTGTTTTTTAAAACAACTTTTTAGTATAAAAATTTAAGAAATAATAAAAAAGTCGTTCCAAACGAAACCTTAGATTTAAGAGTGATATATACCCTTAAATTGTGATCCAAGCCTTATTCTTTTAATAATTTGATAAACATATAATTAAATTTAGTTATATTTTTTAAATATAAGATCTCAAATTAGAATAATATCTTGGAGCATCTTAATATTCGAGGTTTTATGCTCCTTATTCATTCTCTTTTGGACTATTAACACATTTTCTTTTTGAGTAGATATTATTTTTTAATCAACCTTAAATTCTTAAAGTGAGATTTTTATAATCATGTTAAAGAATATCAAAATTTTAATCAAGCGTTTCATTATAATTCATCATTATAGGATGTAATTAATTATTCAAATTTGATTCTACAGAAATTCCACACCTCTTAGTAAAAATTCCTCGTAGAGTGTTTCTCATACTAGATAAGAGAAATCATTGAGATATATTTCTAGAGAATCCTAAGAGGGTTCATCAATTTGGATAATATTTTTTAGCATCATAAATATTCAAGATTATATTCTTCTTATTTATTTATCTTTGGACTTCTTTTAACTTTCATTTTTTTAGATTGATCGTATTTCCTTTGATATTCGTAAAGCAAAATATTTGTAATTAATGACTTTATAATCTTAAAACCTTGTTAAGAATGTAATTAAGAGTTTCATTATAGTGCGTCCTTCAAGGATGTAATTAATAGCATAAGCTTGGCCTTGAAGGGAATCCATACCTTAATTTTAATATAATAAACCTCATATAAATATCCCTCATACTAAATATAGAAAATATTTGAGATATATTTTGATTCATGAAGAATCTCATCTTATATATCTTGAAGGAATTAAGTGTATTTATTTTTAAAGTACATGAGATTAAAAGACAAATGCACCATATGCTTTTATATTGACCTATGAGGAATTTATCTCTATCTTTTTAGATAGTATATTTCTTTTATCATGCCGTTTTCTTTTCACTTTCAAAATACAAATTAACAAACACCTACAGCTCTGACAACATTCTTCAACTTGAATTCGGGTCAACGGGTCGGGTTCGGGTCGAACCCGGAACTGACCCAGCACTGTTCGGGTCAACCCGAAACCGACCTGTTTTTAAAAACGGGTCAGGTTTCCGGACTCGAACCAGACCTGATTCGAATCCGGGTCAACCCGACTCGACACGAATGAGCTGAAGTTGACCTAAAATTGCTCGTTTTCGGGTCAAAATCTGATCAATCTTCAATTTTTGGGTCAATCTCAGGTTTTTCCAAGTCAGATAGGAGTTTTCGTGTCAATTTCGGGTCATTTTAGGGTTGCTGTGTCAACTCGAATCCGACCCGATTTTTAAAACGGGTTGATTTGTTGAATCCGACCCGACCTGTTTCGGGTCCAGGTTGACC